CATGTCAAACCTTATATACCCTTGCAGTCATCGAACAAAATGCATAAAGGCTAAACAATATCGAAGCTAAGACGATTTTTCTAATCAGTTTTATATGGGAGCTATATGATAATGTCCGATTTTGATCAAATTTAATTCGTAATTCAAGAGTCGTTAGAAAACTTTATATTCCAAAAATCATGCTTATCTGATGAAAAAGAACGATGTTATAATTTTATTTCCGTAAGTTCTTTATAGATTTTTCGATTCTTCCTATGGCAGCTATAAGATATAGTTCTCCGATTTTTATGAAACTTTTTTCTCAATATAAGAGTTCTTAAAAAACTTGTTATTCAAAAAATCATGCTCGTGGGATAAAAAACAACGATGTTATCAATTTATTTCCAATAACTCTTTATATATTTTTCGATCTCTCCTATGGCAGCTATATGATAGATTTATCCGATTTTTATAAAATTCAATCCGAAATTCAATAACAGTTAGAAAACGCCATCTTGAGGAAATCAAGTCGATCCGATCAAAAACAACGGCGTGAGAATTTTTTATTTCATTCTCTCGTATGGGAGCTATCCGATATAGTCGGCCGATCCGGCCCGTTCCGTCTTATATACTGCGTGCAACAACTACACAACTTTTGGGAAAGTTTCAGCAAGATAGCTTTAAAACTGAGACCGACAGACGGACAGACGTACAGACGTATTCCGATTCTGCTCGTGATGCTGATCAAGAATATATATACTTTATGGGGTCTGAGGTGTCTCCTTCACTGCGTTGCAAACTTCTGACTGAAATTATAATACCCTTTTGCTACGCAAGGGCATAAAAACTAGCTTTGCTTTGCGTCAAATGCTTGAGGATAAGACCCATATAAAGGTTATATACATACGCCTGTTAAAATTCGTTTTAATTATATTTTATCTTTAATATCGTTTACTTCAATTAGCTTTATCCGATTTTTTTTTAAGAGAATGGCTGTTAAAAGCAGTGTTGAAGATTTGGTTGCTATATCGGAAGCAATACATTGCTCTATCTGCAATGATACTTCTAATGAAGCTGAAATGATGGAAACTGCATGTAAGCACAAATTTCAAAAGGCTTGTATGCTAACGTGGCTGGAAAATAACGAGTCATGTCCAAACTGTAGACAGTCTTGTAGTCGTAACCAGGTTCAAAATAGGGATTCTTATAGTACTGAATCTAGACCTCCGATCACCAGATCACAGAGAGGCCAAATACTAGATTAGGTACAAGTACTCCAAGTGGCCCGACGGCGCGTCCTAGCCAGTCAAAATGATACTGTTCGTCAACGAAATGTACCTGATTCCAATGCGTTATCACAATATCAAATCCAACGAATCATTGCAAGCTCTTTAGAAATTTATAGAGCTAGCATGCTATCTACCATGACAGAATAAATAAGTACGACTTTATGAAATATAAGCTTGTCTCCACCTGAAGTTCGTGAAGTTCATCAATGAGGTACTCTATTGGTCAGTCCAATATGGCTGGTGAGTGGCCTGATAGAACATCAAGTGTAATTTCCAACTGACACTTAAAATTCTCAGGTGCACCAAAAGAAATTAAAATTTATGATTTTATATATCGAGTGAATTGTCTAACTAGACAATGCCTTAACAGTAACTTTGAATTGTTGTTTCAATTTGCACATCCTTTATTTTCTGAAGCAGCCTTAACCTTTTATTGGCGAATTCATCGAGACTCCAAAAACATGAGTTGGTTTACACTGCAATCGTTTTAGAGAAAGATTTCAAGATCAGCGTACCTACCGAGGCATTAAAAACGCCATGCGTCGCCGTAAACAAGGTAGCAATGAATCTATTGATGATTTTGTAGATGCAATGCTAGCCATTTCTAATGGTTTGAGAGACCATATCTCCGAGTGTGATATAACCCTTGAAGTTGGACACAACTTAAGGCTAATTTTCAGCACGAACTGTTGCACATTGACACTCCTAACTTAGCAATTCTCCGAAAAGAATGTCACAAACATGAAGAGTTTATGAATAGAATAAGGTCTAAACCACTTTTTTGTCCCTTCATCACAATACGGGTTGTAAATAAAGTTTTTAATGAAAAAACGCATGAACAACTTGTAAATTTGGCACGTGAAGATGTGGAGGAGATTTGTGATCTCCGATAAGCTTAAGTGCTGGAACTGCGACGGACAAACTCACCGTTACCACGAGTGCCTTCAACCCCAACAAGGGTTTTGTTAAGGATGTGGTGCCTTAAACACTTACAAGCCCACATGCGTAAAATGTAGTCACTTGTTGGAAAACTTTTCAAAGGATATTCCCTCCCGTCCGAAAGCGGATATCCAATCGTAAGTTCGGAAACCAATAACAAAACGATACCAACGAAGACAAAAACTTTGTTTGACTTACAATGTACCCCAGACTTGAATACTACCGTGCGTTTTAAGCAGTATCACTCGCGCTTACAGAAAATTGTTATTTCCAACTTAAAGAAAATCCTAAGCTATTGCTAAGTGATCGACCAGACGTATACGACATTACTGGGAAAACAAACGCCGAATAAAAGTTTTACATTATCTTCCATTGTACACAAATGCATTGATTCGCGGCCCTTCATAACTGCAGAAATTCTGTATAATCCATATTTGGCTTTATTAGATAGTGGAGCCAACATTAACGTGATTGGTGGAATCCTCGCAGAACAGACGGTCTCGGCAAAACAACATTAATAGGCAATTAATAGACACATCAACTTCAAAACCCATTCAACAAGGTTTTTACTCGTTATCCCCTGCCAAAGAAAAAATGTAATGCGAAGAAATTGATCCTATGATTAAATTCGTCGTGATTGAAAAACCTCCGACATCCCCATAGGTCCTTTCCAGTAACATTGGTAGACAAATCTGACAAGGTTCGATTTTGTCTGGATGCGCGTGAATTAAATAGCCTAAAATTCTAAGACGCGTATAAGTTAACACGCGCAGCCAAAAGTCAGAGAAATTGCAAGGTCGAAAAAGCTGACCACGCATTCCAGCGGCCAACGCCGTCTGCCCAACTCCGACACGCCTGCAGCGAGTGATCGTTACCTGGCAGAGCCAAAGTGCTGACAGGGCTTTTAGCCAACTGCGCTGTCGCTCGAAGTAGGTTTGGAGCTGCAGCCGTGGTAAAGTTTAGATTAGTTAAGAATTACGCTCCGCAGAGGTTAAACAACTTCCAGCGGACGGTATTGTTAGGCCATCTAAATCACCCTACAACAATCCTACTTGGGTCGTTGATAAAAAAGGAACCGACCAAAATGGACTAAAAAAGAAACGGTTGGTTATTGATTTTAGAAAATTGAACCAAAAAACAATTGACGATAAATACCCTATTCCCACAATTTCGACCATATTATCAAATATGGGCAAGTCCCAATTTTTTACAACACTTGATCTTAAATCAGGCTTCAGGAAAAAGACAGCATTCTCAATAAATGACGGTAAATATGAATTTTGTAGATTGCCGTTCGGCCTTAAAAATGCTCCAAACATCTCTCAAAGGGCCATTGATGATGTCTTACGGGATAAAATTTTACAGACGTAATTTTTTCCAAGACAAAGGAAGACCACGTTAACGACATACACTGGGTTATCGAGAAACTCTTAAAAGCAGGCATGAGGGTCACCCAGGAAAAATCAAAGATTTTCAAAAAAAGCGTTGAATACTTGGATTCATAGTTTCTGAAGAGGGCCTACGAACCTCACCCGAAAAGGTCAAGGCTATCAAGGAATTTCCCCTACCGAAAACCCTCTTCAACCTCCGATCTTTTTTGGGACTAGCGAGCTACTATAGATGCTTTATTAAAGGTTTTGCATCAATAGCAGGACCCCTTACGGGAATCCTAGAGGGAGACAACGGAAAAGTAAGCAAATATCAATTTAGGAAAATTGATATCGAAATGACTGAGCAGCAGAAAGAAGCATTTCATAAATTAAAAGAAATTTTGGCGTCAGAAGATGTTTTACTAGCATACCCTGACTTTACGAAGGCGTTCGATTTAACAATGGACGCCTCAGGTCTTGGTCTGGGGGTGGTACTATCCCAAAAGGGACGCCCCATTACAATGATATCCCGCACGTTAGAGATAACGAAAAAAACTTCGCAACAAACGAACGGGAGCTACTCGCCATAGTCGTGTCCCAAAAAAATCTCCGCAACTACTTATACGGAGTAAAAGACTTACGCATTTATACTGATCACCAGCTGTTTACGTTCGCTGTGTCGGATAAAAATCCCAATGCGAAACTAAAACGCTGGAAAGGTATTATAGATAATCATCGAGCAAAAGTAATTTATAAGCCAGGCAAAGAAAACCTTGTGGCGGACGCGCTGTCTCGCCAAAATATAAATGCCCTACAGGACGCTCCAGAATCAGACGCAGCTACGATCCATAGCGAGCAATCGCTAACTTATACCATTTCCACAACGGACAACCCGGTCAATTGCTTCAGAAACCAGATTATAATTGAAGAGGGAAGCAGCTCGTCTGTAGACAACTTTATTTTATTCAAAAACAAGAAAGGAAGCTAGATTCGGCAAGCCGAAGCTTACACACCCTGCAGTCATCAAATATTTCGAACAGAATACACAAAGGCTAAACAACATCGAAGCTACGACGACTTTTTCATTAATTTTCCAAATTTTTGACTATTGTTCATATGGCAGCTATATGATATAGTCGTCCGATTTTGATGAAATTTTTTTTGTTTTTCAAGAGTCAATAGAAAACTCTATGTTCCAAAAATCATGATTTTATGATGAGAAATAACGTTGTTATCATTTTATTTCCGTTAATTCTATATAGATTTTTCGATCTTTCCTATGGCAGCTATATGATATAGTTGTCCGATTTTTATAAAATTTTTTTATAAATCGAGGCTAGTTAAAAAATTTGATACTCAAAAAATCATAGTCGTGTGATGAAAAAAACGTTATCAAATATTTTCCATTAATTCTATATACAAGTTAACACGGTCTCCCAGCCAAACGGAAGTTCCCAGGCTGATAATGCTTAACAGAATAAAATAATGCAAGGCTAGCGACACCTGCGGACGTTGCACAACGACGTTGCCAAAATCCCAGGCTTCGGTCGGCGCAATCAGCGGGCAATGCACTCCGATGCAACGGCGGCTACCCAACACCATGCATGGGCAGCCGGGTCAGCACTTTTACGACATAGGGCTAGCTTTCATTATAAGAATTATTGTACTTAGAGTTTAGTTGAATTTTGGAAATAAACGGTGACGGTAAAACCTCGCAATTACAAAGTCTTCTCATTCGCAAATTAAAATCGCGTCTTAAATAAATCCTAAAAAGGACATATAGTTAATTGGCACCCATAGCGTCGTAAGACCCTCGACTCGTGTTCAATAAAAAAAACAACAACGCGTCGTAAGACCCTCGACCTTTGTACAAAAAAACGCGATCGTAAGACCCTCGATTCGACGTTTAAATAAAAAAAAATAAATAAAAAAATATATAAAACGCGTTCGATCCGTTAAAAAAAAAAAAAAAACTACTTGTTGGGTTTACGCAACAAAACCAGTCAACAACAACAAAACCAAAAACAAAAAACCAGGAACGAAACCAGCGCAACTGAATTAAAAGAAGGAAGACACCCGACAGCGGCAACAACATTTAGTTCTACAATTAAATAAAAACCATGTGAGTAGAGTGTTCATTGATACGCCCACTATTTTCAAATTGCAAAAAAAAAGTAATTAAAAAAAAAAAAAAAAAAAAAGTGATTTTCCAAGAGTCTCAGTTAAAAAAAAAAATAAAGGCACAAGTTCGGAAATTTTTTATTTTAGAAACAATTAAATACAAAAGGAACAAAATTCTTTGTTCTTTGTGTTAAAATCTTATGAGTGTTAGTGAGATAGAAGATTTGTTAGACAGATTTCAAAAGCTAAACACCGCGGAAAGTTCACAACAAAATAGTTCAAACATGGCACTGACCAGTGAACAATTAAAATCCATTATAGAAGGCGCAGTTGCGAGCGCACTCGCCGCGCAGGAAAAAAGCTTTGAGCAAAAATTACAAGAAGTTCAATAGCGTTTAGGTGGTGCAAATATCGGCACACCAGAAGTAGAAACGTATAGAGATGCCGAAATTATAATAGGTATCGCATGCTGCGAAACGTTAGATATCATGAAGTCCCTGCCGGATTTCGAGGGAAAGAATGAGACATACGTCTCTTGGAGGAAAGCGGCGCATACCGCCGCATATAAAGTATTTGAGAAATATGATGGTAGTTCCAAACACTACCAAGCTTTAGGCATTCTCGAAACAAAATAAAAGGCTCGGCCGATATGGTTCTTTCGTCGTTCGACACGCCTTTAAATTTTAAAGCTATTATTAACAGGCTTGACTTTACATACGCGGACAAACGACCGATATATTTAATAGAACAGGAGATGTCAACACTCCGTCAAGGAAACATGACACTTCTGCAGTACTACGACGAAGTGGAGAAAAAACTGACTCTGCTTATAAACAAGACAATTATGACCTACGACAACACCGTAGCTGCCTCAATGAACGAAAAACACAGAGCAGATGCGCTACGAGTATTTATTTCGGGCACAAGAAAATCGCTTAGCGATGTTCTTTTTCGGCAAGACCAACCGATCTTCCTTCCGCTTTAGCATTAGCGCAAGAAGTAGACGCTAATCATGAGCGATACATCTTCGCAAGTAATTTCGCACGTAGCACGGAGGAAAAACACCAAAGGGGTGAACAAAGAAGTGCATCGACAGACGCTAAGTTTAACCCAAAAGGTAAAAATCCCCATTTTAATAAAATTCCACCAAGGCAGCCACCCAGACAGGAACTGACCCAACCAATGGACGTCGATCCTTCATTATCCCGTTTTAGACAACCAACCCAAAACCAACAAAGCGGACCGTTTTCAAGACAAATTCAAAGCACTTACCGAAATAGTCAACCCAAGTATAGCAATAATCAGGGACAGACGATTAAGAGGCCAACTAGTAGTAGCGCTAGATATACAGGACCAAAACACCAGAGGGTAAATCATCTGGCTTTAGAAAACGACCCACCAAATGAAACCAATAATGAATACCCGGCAGTAGCCGAAGCGGAATGTGAGAACATCGACGATGACCTAGTAGAATATGATGAAATAAATTTTTTAAGCATAACTCCCTGCTCCCATTCATAGAAAGGGATATCGCAGGGAGAAAAATAAAACTTTTAATTGACACAGGGGCTTCCAAAAATTACATCAAACCTATTAAAGAATTAAAAAACGTTGTTTTCGTAAATAAACCATTTCCTGTAAAATCAATCCATGGTCATAACACAATAAATAAAAAATGTATAATGCACATTTTTAATACAAATTCAACATTTTTCTTGCTACCAAACTTAACAACGTTTGATGGAATTATTGGACTGGACCTACTTTTTGAAGTGTGCAAATGTAAATTTTACAAAAGTTGAGGATATAGTGGTACCACAGGAAATAATGGAAAAATTCCATGAAATGTTAGGAAACCGTACGGGTGTATTTGCAGAGCCAAACGAAGCGCTGCCGTACAATACTAACTTTGTTGGTACTATCCGGACAGAGAATGAAGATCCGATATATTCAAAACTGTATCCATACCCGATGGGCGTGTCCGACTTTGTAAACACAGAAACACAAGCAATGTTACGAGACGGCATAATCCGACCATCTCGGTCTCCATATAACAACCCCGTTTGGGTTGTAGATAAAAAGGGACCGATGAACAGGGAAACACGAAAAAACGCCTAGTAATAGACTTCAGAAAGCTTAATTTGAAGACAATAGATGACAAATACCCTATCCCGAACGTAGTTTTTATCTTGGCGAATTTAGGAAAGGCAAAATACTTTACAACATTAGATTTAAAGTCTGGTTTTCACCAGATACTACTCGCCGAAAACGACAGAGAAAAAACGGCCTTCTCAGTAGGAAATGGGAAATATGAGTTCTGTAGACTACCCTTTGGATTGAAAAATGCACCCAGCATTTTTCAGAGAGCCATCGACGATGTGCTCAGGGAACAAATAGGGAAATCATGCTATGTCTACGTCGACGACGTAATTATTTTTTCGGAAAATATGCACGAGCATGTGAAACACATAGCATGGGTCTTAGACAAATTATATGAGGCCAACATGAGAGTTTCGCGCGAGAAATCTAATTTTTTTAAAGAAAATGTAGAGTATTTAGGTTTCGTGGTTTCAAGTGGAGGCATAAGAACATGCCCTAACAAAGTAGATGCTATCCGTAACTACGAACAACCGACCACACTATTTAATGTCAGATCATTTCTCGGACTAGCTAGTTACTATAGGTGTTTTATTAAAGACTTTGCATCTATTGCAAAACCTATAAGTGACATCCTGAAAGGAGAAAATGGCAAAGTAAGTGCAGGCCAATCAAAGAAAATACCTGTTAACTTCGACGAAAATCAACGCCAGGCATTTGAAAAACTTAAGAGTGTTCTAGCTTCTGAAAACGTAATGCTATTATATCCAAACTACAAAAAAGCGTTCGACTTGACGACAGATGCTTCGTCTTTTGGTTTGGGAGCAGTCTTGTCACAGGACGGAAAACCCATAACCATGATATCACGAACTTTAAAGGACAGGGAACTAAATTTTGCAACTAACGAAAGGGAGTTATTAGCAATAGTATGGGCCTTAAAAAGCCTCAGAAATTACTTATACGGCGTGAAAAATTTAAACATTTTTACTGACCATCAGCCACTTACTTTCGCCGTCTCAGATCGCAATCCAAACGCAAAAATTAAGCGCTGGAAAGCTTTTATTAACGAGCACAACGCCAAAATTTTTTATAAGCCAGGAAAAGAGAATTACATCGCTGACGCACTGTCCCGACAGCACATCCACGCGCTAGAAGAGGATGCCCAGTCAGATATTGCCACAATACATGGCGAGCTATCACTCACCTACACTATTGAAAAAACAGACAAACCGGTCAACTGCTTTCGGAACCAGATAATCATAGAAGAAAGCGGAACTGCTTCAGTTAGAACGGTCATTATGTTTGGTGAAAAAACTCGACATCTCTTATATTTCTCGGATAGAGAAACACTTATACTGAGAGTATGCGATGTGGTCAAAAAAGACGTAGTCAATACAATTTTATGCGAACTACCAGTACTGGCATTTATCCAACATAAATTAATAGAAACTTTCCCGACAACCACATTCCGTTACACGAACCGTATGGTGACTGACATCCTAGACAAAAACGAACAAAAAGAAATTACGGTGTCAGAACATAACCGGGCTCATAGAGCCGCTCAGGAAAACGTGAAACAGATTCTGCAAGACTATTTTTTTCCCAAAATGACTCATATGGCAAATGAGGTGGTCGCAAATTGTAAAATATGCCAGAAGGCAAAATACGATAGACACCCTCAGAAACAGATTCTCGGAGTAACACCCATTCCCTCATACACAGGCGAAATCCTACACATTGACATATTTTCGACAGACAAAAAATACTTTTTTTACTTGCATAGACAAATTTTCAAAATTTTCAATTGTTCAATCAATCGCTTCCAGAACCATTGCAGACGTGCAAACCGCGATTTTACAACTTATTAATTTCTACCGGCGACCGAAAACAATATATTGCGATAATGAGCCTTCTATAAAATCTGAAACAATTAGGTCTCTTTTAAGCAACCGGTTTAACGTGCAAATCGTTAATGCACCGCCGCTTCACAGTACATCGAACGGACAAGTGGAAAGATTCCACAGCACACTAACAGAAATTGCACGGTGTTTAAAAATCGAAAGAGGTATTGTGGACACGGTTGAATTAATACTACTCGCATCTATAGAATACAATAGAACCATTCACTCTGTAACAAATAAACGACCCATCGACATAATTCACTCATCAACTATAAAGCTTAACGCAGAAATTAGAGATAAAGTCTCAAATGCACAGAATATCCAACTACAAAGATTAAATAAAACTAGACAAGACAGAAATTTTCAAGTAGGAGACAAAGTTCTCGTAAAATCAATTAAGAGGTTGGGAAACAAACTTTCAAATTTGTACACCGAGGAAACCATTGAAGCAGACTTGGGGACCACAGTCTTAATAAAAGGGAGGGTGGTCCATAAGGACAATTTGAGGTAATTATAATAAAATTTATTTTTTCTGTTCTTTTATTTTCAACACCTCAGGATTTGGACGGTACTTCTTCTCGCCGTATCAATAACGGCCAAAATCACCGATTAAACGACCGCAAACTACATACCAATCATAGACGGAGACGTGACCATTTTGAAAGAGTTCCAGTACCTAAAACATTCGACCAATTTAACAATGTATTCGGAGATAGTAAAGGACACGGAAGAAATGGAATAACATTTCCCTCGGTCACATATGAGGCAGATATTAGACTCGGATTTACGACACATTAGAACTCTCCTAGATACAGTAAATGTTCACCATAGACACGCTAGAAGCATCAACTTATTAGGCACCGCATTAAAAATTGTAGCCGGTACTCCAGATTTCGATGATTTCGAGAAAATTAAATTCACGCAGAAAGAACTCATAGAATCAGAAAATAGGCAGATAAACATTAACACAAAGACCCAGGAACAAATAAATATCCTAACAAACACAGTAAACATTTTAGTAAAAAATGCTAAAGTAAAAACAGATAAATACAGAAAATTTGTATGAAAAATTGCTATCAAGAAA